TAGGAAACTATAAAAGTGGATGGTGGGTGGTATAGAAAAAGCATCCAGGGAAGAATTAAAAGTAAAGGCCAGGAAAAGGCTTGGCATTTCAAAGAACAAAAAAGAGCAGCACAGCCTGAATATAGTGTGAACAAGATTGAAAGTGGCATTAAATGAGTTGAGAAATGTGTGCAAATGTTTGATTTTATTCAACATGCATAGGGGGAAATACTGAGAAAATTTAAGGATGTGTCAAAACCTGATTTGTATTTAGGGAAGATCAAATTGATTGCTTCTTGGAGGAAATTATGAAGGGAGATGGAAGCCAGGAGAACAGTTAAAAGACTGAGTGGTTACAGTGAGGTTATCCTAAGTAATATTACTGGAAATGGATCACAGAAAAGATGGTAGAGAAGTGATTAATGGTACCTATTAATCAATTGAAAGTACTTATAGAAAAGGATAAATAAAGTCTAAAACTTGGATTCTGGCATAATCTACTGGGTGTACATTAGGATTGGGAGTTAGGCCAGGTTTAAGGGGAGGAGCCAAGATTTCTCCATTTCATTGATTTGGCTCGGAAGCAATCTCTTGTACTATCAACAGTACAGTAGCAAATGTGAGTCCAGAGACCTGAGCTGACAAGAAATACACATTTGTGAGCCATCAGCATGACATAGTTCACTCACCCAAAAAGAAAGAAATGGGCGCAGGGTTGAACTTACAATGTCTCATGATACTTAAAAGGCAGGTAGAAGAAGAGACATAGCATGGTGGCCAGCCAAGGAAATCAGTAAATAATGGTGTTTAGGAAGCTGCATAGTGATCAGGGAAGGAGAGGCTGATTGTATGTAATGTTACAGAGCAGTGCTACAGAGAAAAGAGAAAGAACTGGTCGGTATGAGATTTCAACTATTTTAACAGTACCATCTTGTAATATTGTAATATTCAACTATATTTAATTAATGTTAAACAATGTTTTCTAGCACCTCAAATGTCTTAAGTTACAGTAATGAATATCTTAAAATCTTAAAAAGTCTTGGTGATGTTGTGATCTCCCTCTGAGGCTTCATGATTTCCCAGACTCTGCTTCTCACTGTGGCAGTCCCCATGTCTCTTTGCTCCTTGAACATGCTCTTTCTTTAAATATGTGATTTTTCTGTCTGATGTGCTCTTTCTTTCATGCCTGTTGAACTTCTATAATTTTTTTTTGAGGTCTAGCTTCATTTTTTTCATTTTAGCTAAACTTACCTGACCTCACAACTAGACCATATTATATTACATGCTTAAGCCATAACATCAAGTGTATCCTGCATGTTGAAATCATCATGGTGATTATTACTTAATTCTGTCTCTTCCATTAAAGTATAGATTGCACTAGGGCCAGAAGTATGGTTTTGTTGACCATTTATTCTTGATGCCGAGAAAAAAATGTGCTGTTAAATTAGGAGAGAGATTTATACTTATTGAATGAATGAATAAATGAAGGAAGGAATAAACGTTTGCAGTTAACTTGATGTAATATTTTCTACCTTTATATAACCTTCACCTCATAGACCTAAAAGATAAATCTGGAAAATGATGATTAATGTAAACAAAATACCACTTCTAATTTTTATAAAAGATTTATTTATTTGTGCATACAGAACTGGGGAACAAGCCAGGGTTCAGTGAGCAGATTCACCAGAGGTGAACCAGGCCTAGGGGCATAGAGAGGATTCAGCAGAGACAGAGTGGGGAGCAGAACAGGCAGTCTGATGAAGTACACTGCTGAGGGGAGCAGCAGGTGGGTCAGGAGAGGTCTGGGGCTGGGGATCGAGCTCACACTGAAGCCACTGTGGCTTACTTGCAGTGCTGTGCTTTCACCCGTTGCTCCACCAGGGAGGGCCCTCATTTCTAATTTAATATTGCAATTTTAAAACATTCAATCAGTTTTGATTACCTTGAAATTTGATTACCTTGAAATTCTTGAGATTGGATGTGTGCTGTTTTGGCCATTCAGGAAGTACCAGGTTATTCACTGCAGATAAATTATGATATTACTTTGTAGGTCTTTCCCAGTCTCATTTATTCTTTAAAAAAATACCATTCCAGGGCCCTCCCTGGTGGCTCAGTGGGTTAAAGCGCCACACTAAGAAGCGAAAGCCACTTCCGCATGAGTTTGATCCCTGCCTGCCCCGGAGGTGACCACATGGCACAGCAGACCTCTCCTGACCCGCCCGCTGGTCCCCTCAGCAGTGTGCTTCGTCGATCTGCCTGTTCTGCTCCCCACTCTGTCTCTGGTGAATTCTCTCACCACCCCTGTACCTCTGGCCCATACCCCAGCTCTGTATGCACAAATAAATAAATAAATCTTGAAAAAAAAAAGTACCATTTAATATCAGCCTGATTACTCTCAGAGTAGAGGGAGGGACCCATCCACATGTCCCAAATGTCCCAACTATCTGAGATTTGGCTTCTCCTGCGTGTCTAGGCCCTGAATGCTAGACCATCTGCAACACAATGGAAGAGATTTCCTATAGAAATACCAACTGCTAACCATACACCTGCCTAGGTCTCATACTTAGTGTATCCACTATCTGAGAGGAGCTATGTCTTCTTCCCTTGTAACTACTAGTGTCTTCTTTATTGCTGCCCTCTGAACAGTTGATACCAAATCATTGGTTTGCCATTGATTCCATTCTGAGGGAACTGAATTGATATATCTGTACAATAGGTTCTATTTCCTTATCTGTTTATAGTTACAATAAGTTTGCTACACAAAAGTCTAATATTTCCTGTAGACACTAAACTCAGTTTAAAACACATTAAAATAAAGTACATAAACCAATTTTTATGTTGCTAATTATTCTCAGTATTGCTTGTGTAGAATCTCTCTGCCCAGCTTCCTAAAATAGAATTCAATCTCTCACATTCTTATTATTTCTTCAAAGCTGTGATCTGTATAACCTCTTTTTAATGTCTCTTTATGATTTTCAAGCCTATTTTTTAGCTTGTATAGAGTATACTTCATATACTAGACTCCCTTTTAAAACATTGTATGTGAGGCATTTTTTTCCTGACCAGTTAGTTTTGCTAAATATGCTTCCACGATGGCAGCTGATAGAACACAAGTATTTGTTTAAAGATATTCAAAGATAGCTCCCCAATAGTTTTCCATTGCAAATGTATTTTAAGAAACAGACTTAGGAGGGAGCTGAGAACTGAAATTTGTGAGCCCTGACACGTATTTTTCATGAGGCTAACCTACTGGGTGTAGTGCTGTGTTCTCAAATAATTTATTTGAAAGTATATTTGCAAAAGAAGAACATTATCTATATGGAGTTAATGTTCTGTCTCTACAGATTAAAATCATAAAGTAAGTTGTGTAAAACATTGGGAAAGAAATGCAAAAATAAAGGACATAAAGTTAAGAAAAATGAGATGAAATTTTGAAATTATTCAAAAACATGTCAGTGTCCTGCTGTGAAACCTTGATCAAGTCAACTAATCTCTTTGAACTTCATAGATAAAATGAGGAACAATACCATTATCACATCAAGCAGTTGTACAAACTGGATTATGTAATTAAAGTGCTAAGCATATTCCTGCAAGTAATTAGGAACCCAATAATAAGTTATGATAGGAATAATCATAATAAAATCACTAACCAATAAGTTACTTATTGTAGAGCTGTTTTTCAGAGACTAAAATGTAGGAATCTTTGCATTTGCAAAAGAGAAGAGAATTGCAAATTTGGCTCTGTAGTCCCTAGCAGCCAGATAAAAACAAATAAATTTGTAAATATCAAAAGATTTATTTACTTAAATACAAAAACTCTATAATAGCACTTTGAATCAGGGTTTTTGCAGTTAATGGAAGTGCCCAAAACATTATCTGTAATTTAAATAATAATCCCTTGTAGATGTTTGTACTATTATTTTTAAATGCATACCAATATTGTGATAATGCTGCCAATGCTTTTAATTATATTACTGGACTCATTTTAACTCTTTGCTAGTATGGATTTTCCTCATTAATGGAGTAACTAAGAATATCTTTTATAATCATAAAGGCTGTTCTGTGTATTAATTTCTTGTCTTTTTTATCAGTGTTTGAGAAAGTGTCACTCAGATCAAGGCTTAGCTTTAAAAAAAAAAGGCAACTTTTGAGTTTCTTTGCTCCTCTTTTCTTCATCAACCACACCAAGATATTCCAAGTCACAGAAGCATTAATTTTTTGAAGCAGGATTTGCTGTAGTGAAAGTGACATTCTGATTCCATTCAGCCCCATAAGGATATTCATGAAAGATCTGGGGCAAACCTATTAAGTTCACTGAGAGTACTTTTGCATAGGAATTGGGTCTGACTGTTAAAACTGTCATGTTGAAAGGTTTTGAATGCCCTATTGGTAAATGACAGTGGCTGCCAAAAATACTGGATAGGTAGTTATTTATTCATTCTTCTGGTCTTGGTAAGTCTAAAAGAGATAATTTCTGCTAACAAAATTAATTTATTACCTTATCACACCCCCCATTTTTATATCCATGCTAAATTGTTTTTATCATATCACAGGTGAGAAAATTATTGATTATTTATTGAATATTTGAATTTTTAAAAAATATAATGAATATTGTAAAGCAGTATGTTTTGGGTACTTAAAAAAAAAAGTTCCTTAAAGATAAAAAAAAAAATATTTCCAAAGGCCTACTCACTTGGTGTAGTTGCATGAATTAAGGAAGTAAGATGACTTTGCCCAACTTTGAACAACTTTCTTGACTTCCTGCAAAGAGGAACCTTTTACAGTAGTATTTTGGAGAAGTCAGTAAAACTGAATCTGACATCACTACCTCGCTGTTCATGTAGCTAGCAAGTGGTTTGTTCTTAGGGTAACAGAGGAGGAAATTGCTCCCCGTCTGCTAAGTCACCAGGGTAGAGTGTGCACTCATTTCTTTTATTTTTGATTCAGTTTCATGGATTTTTTTTTTTTTTTTAAAGACAACCATTATTTTGCCTTTCAGAAGGACGCGTGCTGTTTCGTAGGAATACGGCTGGTTTCCAGATATAACCATGTATTTGTGGCTTAAACTTTTGGCCTTCGGCTTTGTCTTTCTGGACACTGGATTGTTTGTTACAGGTAAGTAAAATAATTTTAATTATAACCTTATTTATGTTCTCCTTGTGGAGTAACACTGGTTTGAAATGGACAGAAGACTTAGTGAAGCGTTGGTGACTGGAACCTGCTGGGAAGTGGTAACGGCTGTTGTAGCTCAGAAAGACTTGACTTGTGATATGACAAAATACATTGTTTCTGTTTAAATGGGCATAAATATTTGTGAAAAGTTGCAATTTAAAAAGTAAAACATTTTCTACCTTTATGTTCCTTGATAAACTGTTCAAGGATAGTAAAAAGGCAATAATGTTACTGAACACACAAAGCCGGTGAACATAGGTTTATGAAAGTCTGAGGAATTTTTATATATCAAAATAAGTGAATTGTATCTTTTTAGCAAAAAATGAATTTTGTCTGCGTTATAATATTTTGGTTTCAGTGCAAGTATCTCCTTTTTGGCAGAGACTTTTGCTTCCTCAAATTTGATTACTACAAAAATATTCTATGGAATACCGACAATTTAAAATAATGCACTTGAATAATAAAAAATATTTAATAAAATATTAAATTTTTGCATATAAAATTTCCTGTTTGACAGTATATTTTCAATCAAGTTTATGATTCCAATATCTGTTTTAATGATTTTTTTTTTTGTGTGGAGATTCAAGTTGAGACACCGCCCTTCCGGGGTGATGAATGGGTAAATAGTAGAGTCTTGAAGAGATAGAACATCTAAAGTCTTAAGAAACATGCAAATACTATATACTATAGGAAAATGTAACTAATTAGATCTCAGAAACTTACATACATGTGCTTGACATGTATAGACATGAGGTCTACTTACTGGGCATTTCTTTAACAGTTCCAGCCTAGGTGGATTTTAGTTGATTATTAAATGTAGCTAAAAATTTGATAATTAGTTTTACTCCTTATGATACAGTGTCTAAAGGCTGCTCTTTGTTATTGAAAGGACTTTGAAAATAGGATTTTCACATAAATACCAAATAAATTTTTAAAAAAGGAAAACTATTTATAAAATCATGCTTCTAAGAAATTCACTATGAAACTGTTTTTTTGACTTTCGACTGCTCTCTCTTCCTGTAAGAAGCCAGTAGCTATCTTCTCAGCAGTTTTGTCAAATGATATTTTGGATAGACAGTTGAAAGTCGGTGAAATAATTTACTAACTATAAAAGGATGGATTTTGAAAAAGCTATATGGTGTAGCCTTTTAAAGTCTTAATACAGAAAATTTTTATTGCCACTATCCTTATACAAGTTGGTTAACTTTATCAAGAACAAACTATAGAGAATAATTTTAGTACAGTGATAGTATATATGTTATCATAAATCAGAGTAGTTTTCCATTAACAGTCCCCACTCAGAAACTGTTGTAAACATTTCTCAATAAACAGAAAGAAATATTGAAATGTTTCATAGGCCATAGAGCAAACCCCACAAAAATTTCATGTCAGTTTATCAAAGGTTTTTATCATAAGAAGTTTCCTTGAACTCACAATCAAAGTAAGGCTATAAAATGATCTAGCAAGCTTTAAGTTAATGTTGCTGAATAATTTATACTACAAATAAATGGATAGATACACATAGGTTTATTTTAAAGAACCAAGTAACTTTAGTTGCTCACATAAATATGGAAAGGCATTGATAGTTTTCTTGAAATATTTTCTGGCAGGGAAAGCATAGAGATAATCATTGTGTGTGTAAAACGTATATTTATTATTATATTTTTAAAATTTGAAGGACATTTATAAATCTTGCTTCTAGAAATTCCCTTTTAAATTGTTCTTTAACTTTCCAATGCTCTTTCCTCCTGTGAAAGCCAGCCAGAGCAGTACCTATCTCCTCCTCGGCAATTTTGTCAAGTTATATTTTGGGTAAACAAGGAGTTGAAAGTAGTGTGAAATAATTTACTAATTAAAAAGATGGATTTTTCAAAAAGCTACATGGTGTAGCCTTTTAAATACAGAAAATGTTTGTCACTGTCCTTATAATGTGTGTACTTATGAGTGTATAATTATAAATTATTAAAGTTAGACATTTTTCTTCATTTGCAAAAACAAATGAAATGGATTATGTGTTTTACTTTCATGTGTCAAAATTGATTATGTGTTTTACTTTCATGTGTCAAAATTGAGTTGCATACATATACATATAGGCATAAATAACTGGTGTTAGGGCAATTGTAATCTCTAAAGGCATAAAGAAATAAAGCCACATGTAGAGTTACATCAGTGAATAAATAGGAGCACACTTTATTTAATCTTTAAAACACAAATACGGACAAGGCCAAACTACTGCCAGGGTAGCAGATTGCTGGGTTGTGTTACACAGAAGTGCAGAATCTCTTTGTCCTGTGTCACTTTACCTTATAAGTGGAAACCAAAACTTTGTTTAAATTTTCTAGATAATTCTAGGGAAAGGCAGTTTTAAGAATACAAATAGAGATCAGTGTCGTTTGTCTCCAACAGAGACATAATGCCAGGCAAAGCTATCATTCTGTAACATCGAAGTTATAAATGTATGAGATGTTATGTAAGTTATGAACATAACATTTCAAATTCATTTCCTGGACAGGACATAATTCTTGTTTTTCCACCTATATTAAAACAAGAGATCTCATGTTAGGATCATTCAATACAAGTTATGAATTCAGTTTAATAAGCAATCCTGTATTTTAAATGCTTTGTGACTTAGTAATTTGGGGATAAAGTATAATAAATTATCTGCTTATTTTAGTATTTTCCTAATAAGAACTCTGTAATCCCTGTCATTGGTAGAATTTGAGATGGATTTTGTTGGAGGAAATAGGATGCAAGGTGAAGGTCTCTTTCCTTTTCCTCTTTTACTCAAAGGGTTCAATGCAGAGTAGAATGGTTAGCTTGAGCCAGGGCTTTTCTCTGTTTGGGAATGCATACGTATACATATAGGCATATACACATATGCACACACAAGTTTTATATGCCTGGTACCTATGCCAGTTATATAACAAATATAATAAACCGTTTTTGTCTCAATAGTTTTGCCAATACTATATCTAAACCCAGACTAGTTGCTAATACCAACTAGTGGTGGTCCTATGATATTTGCATACATACAAATACATGTAATATACATAGATGGATCTGTTTTATACTATATATATTGGTTCTCCCCATCTGTCTCTTAAAATACTGGGGTTCAATGTCTTTAATCTTTGACCAGTTTTGTTCTTGTTTTCTATACTTAAGGGTTCCTTCTCTTTATCTGCTATGTATTGATGATCCATTTCCAGACTCACCCTTCAGAAGTAAGGAACACACCTCTTTTCCTAAATTTGGGCTTCTTTTCTCAAAAAGATACACTCTGAAATATTTATTTCATGATTTTACTTTTTAATAATTTTGAAAATATTTTCTCATCATCTCCATTGCTGTCACATTAATTCATGGCCATATCATTTTTCACCTGCAGTATGACAATAATTTTCACATGTCTGTGGCACCCCTTTCTATACTCTCCTGCTTGAAAATAAAATAGAATAAAAGGGGGTAAAACACTTTGATATTTCATTGCTTTTATTATTATAGCCTAAACACTTAGTCAGAACTGGATCCACCAAAGAGTTGGTAATGAGCATGGAGCAGACCAGAGACTGTTTTTCTTTTACTCTTACAATTGATTAAAATAGAACAAGTTAGTCAGTTTCAGCACTCGCTCCTCTGCACTTCCTCAAGACAGCTAGGCCTCTGTACAAACCCTGTTTCCTCTCTCAAGTTCTCTTTTGATACTCTTGTCACAGAATACCTCCACTAAAATTGTATTCTTTTTAATACCTTGCTTTGTCATTTTTGACATAGAATTTTAATTATTTGTTGGTGGTATTATCACATACCCCTCAGTGCACTTACTGTTGCTACCTACACAAAAGCAGAATCTATTATGACTTAGACCTTTTTAAAAATCTGACTTCTTACCAGGCACTGAATATGTAATGTTCTTTTTAAACATAACCATAAACTATAGTAATGTAGAAAAAAAAATCAGAAAGAAAGGACAAAGAAAGGGGGGAGACGTGATATCAAAAATTTAGCCAGAGGCTAAGTGGAAAGGTAGATAGAGACAGTTTTATCAAGGTTAATTGAATAATGCTAGAGTCGTTCTCTTCCCTGCCAGCCTGTGACTATGCAAGTAACTCTCTTTCCTAATAAGCCTGTACTTTTACAATTTTAAAGGTAGTTATAATTTTGGATTTTTATCTTTACAGACCTGGTCTTTTTTGTTAATTCTTTGCCTGTCTTTTTCTTTATTTTACCTCTTACCTGGAAAGATCTTCCTGGCTTCCTGAAAATTCCTATTTCAAAAATTTTGCTTCTAAAATTTTCCTAATCTATCACATGGATATTTTTGCTAGTGGCATTCCATTTGGTGGGTTAGTTTCTTGCTTCAGCTACAATTGTTTATAGAAAAAGGAAAGAGGGGGGAAAGCATGGGGACGTGTAGCATGGGGACAAGATGAACAGAGCCAGGTTCAACCCTTGCAAGTACAGGTGTGACCTGGGCCTGGGGCTGTGGACTGTGTACTGGGCACGTGGAAGAGGGGCTCCCTGCATGATTATTGTGTGCATACAGAATGTGTCAATCTGGGCATCATTTCTTATATGATATTGTAAGATCATATGATAACATGACGATTTTTTAGTCTGAGTAGGTAAAGAACAGGAATTTGTAATCAGTTTGCTTAATTTTGTTGGTGAGAGCACAGTGTTAACTGCTATAGAAAAGCTTTCTATTTAGACCATGTGTATATAAGCACATGGTGCAGAGAAAGAAATTTGTCATCACCACAGAGCTTTGATATTTTTCAATTATTTTATAAGCTTACAGGATTATTTAAAGAGGAGAAAACTGGACTGGAAATTTAACCTTAGTTTAAACTTAGTTTTTGTCTCAATAGTTTTGTCAATACCACACATCCAAACCCAGACTAGTTGCCTAGTATCAACATAGGGGTCAGTGCTATATGATT